AAAAAAAAAACAATCCTAAATACCTTTACCTTTTTGAAATAAACATGAATGAGAAACTGTTCCTTAAAAGCTGCAGTAAAAAATACAGATGTTTAAAAATGCTAGCAAATCCAAAATGTCCAGGTTTTTTAAGAGTTTAAATGTTTACAGTCTCTAATATTACAGTACAATCACAAAAATTTGTATCTATGTATTTAACAGTCCTGTCCAATTTTATCTGTAAAGTTTGTACAATCCTGCTTTGTCAGCTGAGCAGAGACTTGTTTTCACATCTAATACCTACCTTTTCATTGTTGTTTTTATATCTCTCCTCAAAACACTTTTTCTTCAAGCTCTTCATCCTAGAGATAGGTTTTTTTCTATAGTTGATTTTTTAGTTGCATTCTATAGTTGCATTTGTTTTATTTCTTTTTTCATATCACACTTTCATTTTTTTTTAACCTTTTGTTCATCTCCTTAATTACAATTAATTGTAACACATTGAACCATTTTGACCTTGAGCTCATCCACTAGCTGTTCTACTTTTCTGCATTATGGTGGTTAACTAGTACCGTATGGTGCATTAATGCCAACAACTGAAATTTACTGTTGAATTGCTGTATTGAATGTCTGATATCCGTCACCAAATACATCACACTTTTTAGTGATCAAGCGACACAGGAAGTGAGTTTTTACATTTTAATTTTTTTAATCAACATTATAATGGTTGTACAATGTTTTCAGTGCAATTTTACAAGTTAAAAATATTTGTATTTAAATCATGTTAGCTTAAAAACACTTCATCTCACACTTACAGGCTATTAATAATAAAGATGCTTCCAGCCACTCCTGAAACAAAAACTATTCGACAAGACATTCCTATTCCAGCAATGGCGCTCCCTGAGAGACCTTCATGTTCATATTCTGAAAATAAAAGATGTTCAACAAAAAATATTAGTTTTCTGGAAAATAATCCTTGTCAAAATACTTAAGAGTATTACAACAAAACACAACTTGTTTTTTTGCCAACTGAGAGTTAAAGATCAGAGTTAAACCTTAAATAATGGGCAAGAATATTTGATATACAAATATGAAAGAAAACCTTGGGTCATTTAAAGATGGCAAACTTAATGCAGTTTTACCCAAATGTCTAATTGCCCTGTTTGAATTGTAGAGTTTGGGGGGTATGTTTCATAAAATATAACAAACATTTTTATTGTATATTGATTGATTGTTTGTTAAAGCGCGTTATTTTCAAAATAATGTTTAAGTAATAATGACAAATGAAATTCAAATTATCCCGATCAAACGTTGAAATACACCACTTCTCCATATTGTGTATTGTCCCCTTCAGTGTTATTTGGAAGCTTTTATTAGTTGTTCATTGTAGATGAGGCTTTTCGTTATTCCTTTTCACGGTAAAGCTGCATATTCTTTTTCACAAGAAGTCTACAAATTCTGTGAATTCCTTTGTTGTCTTGCATGGACTGCATGTTGCAGATCTCCCAAGACAGAAATGGCCATTCCAGAACATTCATTTCAGCCAGTCAGACGCATCCGTATCAACTTACAGTATGTGCATGTAATGTTAAAATCACCAAGGTACCATATGTTAATGTAATACTTCTAATCAGAGTATTTTTTTTAAAATTTCCATAATCTTTATGGTTCTAAAGAGTATACACAGTTGTATGAGAATAAATTCATACAATCACTAATCATGTCATCAGTAAAAATTTTTTTTTTTTTTGGAAAAATAGCCCAAAAAAGTGTATTTAATTTTGAGAGCAACTGTATATGAAATACCTCCTTTGCTGTTTTCACTCCACAAGTTAAATGCATACAACATTTTTTAACATACTCATAACAGTACCAATCCTATTATCCAGACTTACCTACTACAGAGATGGCAACAGGCTGAGATTTTTGATATCTCAAAGTTTTGCTGTTAAAGACCTGGCAGCTGTAGCTTCCACTATCACTCATTTTAACATCTGTAAGTCTGAGTTCTGATCCAAAATGAGACAAGAGATTTGTATTCAGAAACCACTGAAACTCGGCAGCAGGTCTGGAGTCTGCTGAGGAGGACAAGTGTATATCAGAACCCTCCTTGAAATATTTTTCAGTTGGTGAAATTGTCAGTGACACTTTTTCTGGGCCATCTGTAATTTGTAGAGTGAAAAAAAAAAATAGTCCAACATAGTAAATAAATATATATTGATTTCTTATAAACATAATACTAGATGACAATATGCAGTAAATCAAATTACAAAAAACTCACAATACATTGAGAGGTTTACTGGATCACTAAAGACTTCACTGAAGTAATTGAACACGTGACACCTCAGTTGCTCTAAATCATAGCGGGTCACATTTAGGATGGTCAGAGTGGATCCTCCTTCAGTGATCTCAACTCTGTCATCAGCTATGACCTTAGAGCTGCTGTTCATCCAGTGGAAATTAGGAGAATATCCAGATGCAGAGCAGAACACAGTCACAGTACTGTTGAATTCAATGCAGTCTTTGCTGTTTGATTTCACCATAACATTGGAAACACGTGCTGTTGGTAAGAACATTGATTCAGGTTTACTTAGCAAATCTCAATTAAATCATATTTGGATTAAATCACTTACAAAAAGCAGTTCAGACATCATTCCCAATGCTTTCACTGATTATTAACAGTTTATTATAGTAAGTGTTAAAAGCTTTAACAGGGTTTTAAAATCAAATTCTTGAGGGCCATTCTCATACAGCTTTTACATATGTCAATTCCCTACCCTTCCTGAATCAAACTATCTCACTAACATTAAGTTAAGGTCTGAAAGCTCTCTTAGTGAGCTCACATTAGAATCAGGTCTGTTTTAGCAGGGACACATCTATAAGGTGCCGAACATTTGCCCTTAAGCAATGGAGTTTGAAACCACTGGTTAAAAAAAACTATTTCTGAACTGTTCAAAACAACATCCAACTAGTCTGTTTCATATACTGTATATACTGATACGGGTGACATTTTGTTACAAGATAAACCCTTGAAATATCTTTTTGTAGGTAAAGAGGCCTTCCGTCCTGAGGTGTTATCATTTCACATTTGATTAACAATAAATTTATTTTACAAATAAGAGACCTGAAGACTTGAAGAAACCCACCTTTATATGTAAAAATGTTATCTAGACTTACCGAGTACAGACACAGCTGAGGGCTCAGAAGTTTGATATCTCAGAGTTTTGCTGTTAAATGCCTGACAGCTGTAGTTTCCACTCTGACTTGCCTGAATGTCCATCAATCTGAGCTCTGATCCAGTATTAGGCAGGAAAGCTCCATTCAGAAACCAGTGAAACTGAGCAGAAGGTCTAGACTCTGCTGAACGGACAAGCTGAATGTTTACACCTTCTTCATGGTGTTCATTTGATGGAGATATCTCCAACTGTGTGTTTTCTGGGCCATCTGAGAGGACAAAATCCACAAAGTACTTTTATTTATGTGAGAACTAAAGGGTAAAATATCTTCTATCATGTGCTGCTATCCTTAAAGCAAAGTCTCATCAACAGGTGATAAACATCGTCTTCCACCCTTGCAGCCTATCTGTTCATTCAGGTTTAGAAAAAAAATCGAACAATTTCAGTTTGTAGAAAAACAATGTTGTCATCGACATTTTTCAACCTTTGATCTTTCATCTAATTAATCCAATTAAACTTTTATATCCAAATACAATTTAGATAAAGATAATTTTTAATAGCAGAGAGATAAAATTATGTTAAAAAAGTCTATATAAAATGGCATAAAACAAGACGAAAAACAAATAAATATAAAGAGGGTATTGACTTAAACAGGGCCAAGTGCTATTGAATATGACAATTTTAAAAGAGTAACAGGAATCTATGATCTCTAATTTAAAAATGAAATTCAGGAGATTTCCCAGTTTGGAAGTCACAATGGAATAGCAATATATTTTCAAATTGTTTCCAATTTCAGGGATCTTGGTCTTATTTATTATATATCTGATTTAAAATGTTAATTTTCACTGAAGAAAAGCATTTCGATTAA